ATATTCTTAGTTTAGATAACCATTAATTGTATTACCATTCTTAGTTTAGATACTCAATAATTGTATTACTATTCTTAGTTTAGATACTCATTAATTGTATTACTATTCTTAGTTAAGATACTCATTAATTGTATTACCATTCTTAGTTTAGATACTCATTAATTATATTACTATTCTTAGTTTAGATACCCATTAATTGTATTGCTATTCTTAGTTTAGATACTCATTAATTGTATTACCATTCTTAGTGCAGATACTCATTAATTGTATTACCATTCTTAGTGCAGATACTCATTAATCGTATTACTATTCTTAATATAAAAATTGTGTTATCACCTCATAACATAACGAAATATATTCAAATTAAATCTTAATTGAAAATACATCTACCTCAGAGAAACATTTTCGAGGTTTGAGATTATCATGATGTTTTAATATTTTATCATTTTTAATAAATATTTGAGATATTTATGTCTACTGCTGCTCTGGTTATGTTTCATGTTAATAATATTTAAGCTGATGTTAACATTGCTCAGGTTGTGACTGAAAAAGATTATATTACTTTACTTTTAAATCTGCCTACCTCAATACTTGTATTACTTTACTTTTAAATCTACCTACCTCAATACTTGTATTACTTTACTTTAACTTCTACCTACCTCAATACTTGTATTATTTTCCTTTTCCTTCTGCCTACCTCAATACTTGTATGACTTTACTTTAACTTCTGCCTACCTCAATACTTGTATCACTTACTTTTACTTCTGCCTACCTCAATACTTGTGTTACTTTACTTTTACTTCTACCTACATCAATACTTGTATTACTTTACTTTTACTTCTACCTACATCAATACTTGTATTACTTTACTTTTACTTCTACCTACATCAATACTTGTATTACTTTACTTTTAAATCTACCTACCTCAATACTTGTATTATTTTACTTTTACTTCTACCTACCTCAATACTTGTATTACTTGACTTTAACTTCTGCCTACCTCAATACTTGTATTACTTTACTTTTACTTCTGCCTACCTCAATACTTGTATTATTTTACTTTTACTTCTGCCTACCTCAATACTTGTATCATTTACTTTTACTTCTGCCTACCTCAATACTTGTATTACTTTACTTTTACTTCTACCTACCTCAATACTTGTATTATTTTACTTTTACTTCTACCTACCTCAATACTTGTATTATTTTACTTTTACTTCTACCTACCTCAATACTTGTATTACTTTACTTTTACTTCTACCTACCTCAATACTATATTACTTTACTTTTACTTCTACCTACCTCAATACTTGTATTACTTTACTTTTACTTCTGCCTACCTCAATACTTGTTTGTTTGCTCTACAGAAAAACATTCCTTAAATTCTGATGTTTCAGTAGTTTCCACTTCTAAATTTATAACTTTTTGACACACACCCACCTTTACATTATTGGTTTGTGTCTCTTTAACAACATTTATCTCCACATTAACCTCATCATTTCCGGCTCTTTTAAAGACTGTACGTATAAAGGGATTACACTCCTCAGGTATGAGGATGTGCTGAGACATTTTCAATAAGAACAAAATGCTTGGATGTGGTATTTCTAGTTTGATGTGGGGCGGGATTAGCTACATTGATACATGTTGATTGACACCTGTCTATAAGCATATCTTTACATAATGTAAAACACATTTTGGACAACTTTTAACTAATTTAAGTAGATTTCAATTCAACAATATTGCTCCACAACAATTACAACATATTAAGCAAAATAATTTTGGTTATTTCCAATTACACGAACTTGGTTATATATATATATACATGAACTTGGTTATATATTTACTAACCTTTTTCTTTAGACTTCGCAGATTATATGGTTTAGTCTTTTGATGACTTAATGCGATGCACTACTTAATTATTATCGTTTCCAATTCCATAAATTCCCTTAATTCTTAATTAATTAGCAGTTTGTTAAATAATATTTCAACATGCACTTTATTTTCATTCCATGGAGTTTCTATAGTTAATTTATATTCGATTTTATTTTCAGATTTTTCACAGAATTGATCTACATTTGCTTCACACATATCAATCACAAGAAATTGTACACCGTGATGCTGTTTATTTTTCATTGAATGAATGGTCCGTATTAAATGTTCTCTGATTCACCAGACAACCTTACAGTAAAGTATATGATTCAGCAAATTAATTCTCTGCTGTGAAGGAGATATTTTGTCTGTAGCGTGGCTGATGGGTCAGTGCTAGGTCACTTATTCTGACACTAGTTCAGCAAATACTTAATTATCATTTAAATAAATACACAGTGCTGGCCTTCCAATGTTAATGAACCGTAAATGCTGGACATTAAGCAGGGATACAACCTGTTTAAGGACTTTTGAATTAAGAGCCTGTGGACAGAAGTCATTGCTTACCCAACTTAGGCGAACGCTCAACACTAAAGCCAAAAGTAGGGTATTTCCCTTAGTTGTTGCAAGGACGTTAAACAACATAACGGTATATACACAAACAAACGAGCCAACACTTCTTACCTGCAGTTGCATCCAATGGGTCGTCAACTTTAAACTTGAATAGCACTACCCATGTCGTAATCATGTAGGCGCATCCCCCTATTGCGCCGATGCACAGAGCTCCGTACGTCTCAATCTGATTCGCTGCTCCGCAAACTGACACCTACCGAGAACAGAGTAATAGTGGACAAGCATACTTCAATGTAAATATTTTGTATAAAATTATGTGAGACAGGGATGGACTGGACACCAGCCTCTAAGGTTTTGCATAGAAGTGTCCAACTGCATGCTTCTACTTGCTTATCTCCCCTAGTTTAAAACTCTAGAATAAGACATCCAACTGATAATAAATATAAAACTCTATTTGTTCCAATAAAACGAGAGAATCTTGAGACGGGAGTCAGTCTACTCTCGGATAGTTAAACTTAATTAAAAACTAAAATCAAAATCAACAAAGAAACACCGGCTTTGTGTCATGTTCAACAAAAAGGTCATTGAAGACAAATTCGTTTAATACTTAAGAGTAACGTCTATATCGAATTAAGGTAAGAGTACATAAAACCTGAACATTACTGAACTATTATAGAACATGTGACTTGTGCAAGCTTACCATGCCCGTTAGGGCCCCGTTGAGGGTTGTTAGGAAGCTCCACTTTTTGTCGCCAATGAAAGGCAGTCTATTCATTATGAGTGTGACCAGCGCACCGGACGACCCGGAGATGACGGTGTTTTTGACGGCGGTAGCGACGGCCGCCCCGTCGCCCTCATTTGAGATGGCGCCCTGCGACGACCCATTAAATGCGAAGAATCCGAAAAGCAGAATGAACCCGCCCAAGGCCGAGAGCTGTAAGCAAACGCAAAATGGAGAAGGATTCCGAAAAGCATACTCAACACAGATTGCTTTAAGTGTAAAAAGCTAAAACGGTTCTGAACGGAGTAATAAACCAATTAATTCAACGCAGACAGTTGTTAGCAATAGTAAAATCTAAAACGATTCCGAATAGCATGATGACGTTATAAACTCAATGCTTTGAGTTGTGAATAAATGTGAAATCTATGTGGAATCCGAACAGCAAAGTAAAATAGTCAATTCTAGGCGGACAACTGTGATTAAATGTTATAACATAACCGTATTCGAGGAGAAGAAATGAAGAATTCCAATCGACATACACAACCAGAAGTATAAGCAAAATATTACCGGGGTCCGAAACGAGCAAAATTTCAAAAGATATCATTTTTGGCTTTTTCACGACAATAAGTGTTCAATTTGTTTCAAACAACAAGCATTCTATATGTCAAAATATTGATGAAAGATTGGTGTTTAAATCTGTCGGCGAGAGAAAATTTCAGTTTCGTTCATTTTTCGTCCATGTTTGTTTGACAAATACGTCACCAGCATGTCGACAGAAAAGTGACTGAATCGGGTAATAAAACTGTAAGAAAGAATCACCTCTAACAGGTGGGCTTATATGACAACAAACAGTGACGTCATCCATCTCTAACACCTGCGCACTTTTATACATGTACACTGACCACAAAAAAATACCATGTAATTTTTTTTTTTTTTTTAAAGCAGGTAATAGATAACACTGGTCAAGCAAGTGGTCAACTGGCTCCATATGCGTGAAATGGACGTTTTTGTAAAAGTGTGAATATGATATATACACTATCATCGGGAGATCGTGCTAATGGTGCTAGTGCCAATCTGAACTGTGGTAACCGGGGGACATATTAGCCATTTTCGCTCGCTATTTTTTTTTGCAAGAAACTATTTCTTTCATTGTTTTGACCACTGTGATAGGCGTACCGGAACAGAGTGGCCCTTGATGTCCTCAGGTGCGCCGGTGTCCTTATCGAATCGTCCTATCCTCGGCCCCATTATCAAAGCAGCAGTAAAGGCGGCAATCCCTCCGAGCATGTGCACTACCCCACTTCCGGCGAAATCCTTTAAAAAAATAGAAAGAAGAGAAAAATAATCGTTTATGATAAAGTATACAATAATCTTGCAAAATCAACAGTTTAAGGGATAATTTGAGATATGACGTCACAATAACATGGTTTTATAAGGTGATGTCAGAATATAATTCAATATAATTGGTGAATTGTCGCCATTACAGAATGGATCAGACATGGGCATCGGAATAATTTGCGTTTTATTGGACATTACATACTTAATTGGTTGTCATTTATTTCCTGCTTACCTGTATTATTCAATATATTTGTAATTCAACGAAGGCGTTTTATGTGTCCACTGCGTTATTGTCTATTTATGTCGTAATCACTACTTTTTTGTTGTGACGGGGGAACGTTGTGTTAAGTTGTACGGTGTAGTGCTGGTTGTTGATAGTAAGGTCACAATTGAATGGTAGGGAGCGTGGATGTGACATCTCATCGGTAGACAGAAAGATAAAGACTGTATGCCGCTGAGGTATAAGGTTGTAAATGGGATGCAAGGAGTTTGATACTTATATGGATTTTTGAAAGTGGTTTCTGTTAAAGGGACGGATCGATGAGGTGTCGGTAACAGGAGTGTTTAGAGATACAGTCAAAAGGATGAATGAGGAAAAAACGAATTGGATCGCTGAGCTATCGGTTATAGGGATGGATGTGGCAACGGATAATTGGGTCGATACGTTTTCGGTAAACGGGATGGACGAATTTTGGTTGAAGCGATGGACATATTTCGGTTAAAGGGTTGATGTGGTAACGGTTAAAGGGGCGGATGACGCTGCAGTTAAAAGGATGGCGGAAGTAGAGACGAAAGGGGTCGATAATGTTTCGATGGATGGATGACTTTCGGTTCAATGGATTGAAATATTACGGTTAAAAGGATGGGTGTGGTGACGGTTTATAGAAGGGATGTAGCGATTTCAATTACAGTGATGTTTCGGTTAAAGGGGTAGAACAAGATACGGTAAACTCTGAGGATTACTCTTAGGCTTGAATGTTTTTGGATTTTGATTGAAGTAAAGGTAATGTATGCATGATGTTACAGTGAAAAGGATGAGTGTGTTTTAGGGATAATTGTATGAAGATGTCCGGGCTGGAAAGACAACACAATCGTCCTTTTCTCATCAGAAAGGTTTTTCATTATGCATGTTTAAAAAACGACATCGACAGAATGAGTTTGTCTACTTACGTTATAAGAGACGTCTATCGTTGTCTCGTTGTCGACAGTATAAGTAAAGCCCTTCAGTAACCAGCCCTCACTCGACCACGCCCAGTGAGTTAGCACCGGGTATATGAAACCTGTCAACATTATTATCACTGGGTATATTTAATCTGTCAACATGACAACAAACAGGATCTATTGAACTTGTCAACATTATATCACATAGCATATAGCCTGTCAAAACACGAGATGTATAACTTGTCAATACTATAAAACACCGAATATATAACCTGTCAATACTATAAAACACGAGTATATAACCTGTCAACTTCAGAAAATACGGGACATGTATAAGCTGTCAACATAACAAAACACATGGGATATAAAACCTGTCAACATTACACAACACGGGGTATATATACCCTGTCAACATACCACAACACGGGGTATATATAACATTTCAACATTACCCAACACGGGGTATATAAAACCTGTCAACATTACACAACACATGGCATATATAACCGGTCAACATTACACAACACGGGGTATATATAACCTGTCAACATCCCACAACACATGGTATATAAAACCTGTCAACATTACACAACACGGGGTATATATACCCTGTCAACATACCACAACACATGGTATATACAACCTATCAACATTACAAAACACGGGGTATATATAACCTGTCAACATACCACAACACATGGTATATACAACCTATCAACATTACACAACACGGGGTATATATAACCTGTCAACATACCACAACACATGGTATATAAAACCTGTCAACATTACACAACACATGGCATATATAACCTGTCAACATTACACAACACATGGTATATACAACCTGTCAACATTACACATCACGGGGTATATAAAACCTGTCAACATTACACAACACATGGGATATACAACCTGTCAACATTACACAACACGGGGTATATAAAACCTGTCAACATTACACAACACATGGGATATAAAACCTGTCAACATTACACAACACGGGGTATATATAACCTGTCAACATACCACAACACAGGGTATATATAACCTGTCAACATTACAGAACACGGGGTATATATAACCTGTCAACATTACACAACACATGGTATATATAACCTGTCAACACACCACAACACATGGTATATATAACATGTCAACATTACACAACACGGGGTATATAAAACCTGTCAACATTACACAACACATGGTATATATAACCTGTCAACATTACACAACACATGGTATATACAACCTATCAACATTACACAACACGGGGTATATATAACCTGTCAACATACCACAACACGGGGTATATATAACATGTCAACATTACACAACACGGGGTATATAAAACCTGTCAACATTACACAACACATGGGATATATAACCTGTGAACATTACACAACACGGGGTATATATAACCTGTGAACATTACATAACACATGGTATATATAACCTGTGAACATTACACAACACGGGGTATGTATAACTCGTCAACATTACACAAAGAGGGTTTATAGCACTCGTCAACATTACACAGCACAGGGTATGTATAACCTGTCAACATTACACAACACATGGTATATATAACCTGTCAACATTGCACAACACGGAGTATATGTAACCTGTCAACATTACACAACACATGGGATATATAACCTGTCAACATTACACAACACAGGGTATATATAACCTGTCAACATTACACAACACAGGGTATATATAAACTGTCAACATTACACAACACAGGGCATATTTTGTATGTCAACACTACACAACACGAGGTGAATATAAAGTGTACACATTACACAACACAGGGTAGATAGCCTGTCAATCTTATATTAGGTCTTACACAGCATTGGGTAGAAATCATGTATCTAAAACGTCATCATTATACAACACGGGGTTATAAAATCATACCACAGTGAACTAATGGAATTCCTTAATATTTCTTTATAAGCGTGACAAAGCTCATCTTTGCAGTATGCATCATCTAACACAGAAATTCAATATTGCTCAAACATGATGCACAAGGACAAAACATAGTTCAAGTTTACCTCCGACACTACCTCGCTACCACGCATAACACTAGGTTTATGGTTAACTTTCGTCGGGAAAATAACATGAAATGTATAGCTTAATGCCCAGATCACTAACATCTGGATCGTCTAAGATTCAAGTTTACATTATGGGTTCTAAAATTGTAATCTTTACAAATGTTGGTGACGTTTTAAGATCAAATTGGTCAGACATGAAAATCGGAAAACGACTTACGGACCCCTGTCTTAACACGCTATAGGCCGTATCTTGTATTACAATTTCACACAACTGCTATAATCTTATAATGTTAAGACATCATCAGGCCTGGGAAACATTTTTTTAATTTTGAGAAGTTTTAAATACTGTTCATTCTCCTGCATAAAAGTGTTGTAGAATATACTCGGCCAAACTACATTATTTGTACAAGTACATTAAATACTTGTCCTTACTAATTAGTCGACACGACTTAAAAGCTGCCACCCATGCATATCTTGCTGATATTTTATTTGTCTGCTTAATTAATTAATTAATTGATTCAGGATAAATTAATTAACTGTTTGGTAGTTTTCGCGTTAAAAGGGTTTTGCCGATATGTAGAGGAAGACGTACAACGGGAATTGTACGTTAAGAGAAAATTGGGAAACTACATGTGTACGTTGGCGGTAAGCGCATAATATAGAGGGTCATTATAACGAGGTTTTACTACACGTCATAGACCTACTGTTTTCTGGGAAATGTTCGCTGCAGTTAAAATTTCGCCTTTTTCGCCCTCCGTAATGAGGGCGAATCTATCATTACAGCGAATGTTTGTAAATAACATAATATACATAGTAGTTAAATAGGCGGGGCGAAATTAGTATAGGGAGAAAATGGATTTTACCGTCGAAGGGCCTAAATTTGACTGGGCGAAAAAAATCCGATATACATTAAATTGTATTCTTTATACTAATTAAAGCAGATGATACGCTATGGCGTCATACCTACCCGTAATGAGGGAGCTGTAAACGAGGTAGGCCACAAAGTCACATCTCTCGGCCACAGCACCAGAAACAATGGTGGCGGCGGTGGCAGCGAACACGAAGTGGAAAAACCAGTAGGCATACTCCGTGTCTTCTAGATTGCTGTGTGCGAAGTTCTCTGTCCCTATGAAAGCGTTCCCTCCGCCAAACGCAAATGCATAACCAAACAGCCAATAGCAAACCCCAGAAATAACTGCAATTAAAATATCCCTACATTATATCGATTTCATTGAACATTTCGTTTTTACCAAGAGACAAACAGTGAATACCATATTTAAATCTAGCATCTTAGTATTAATGAGTGTATATTAAAAGCTAGGGTAAACTAAAATATTTTTTTGCAAATGGTGCCTTGATCCAAACGCTTGCCTGCTTATACATTATTTTTTTGACACATAATCACACCACTTCTAGTAATCATCTACTGAAATTCCAAAACAAGTTAAATTTAAGAAAAAAAATCCATTTTTTTCAGTTCTGGCTTCACTGCCACACTCCAATGGACCCCTCTACAATATCGGTATGTTAGGACGCATATTGAATCAATGACAAGCATTCACATAATTTACCCCAAAACTCCAATCTGTCTCACGTTCTCGAAAACGCCGAACAGTAGAGAAAAAGGGGGTTACCTATTGTCTATAACATATACCTAATAATGATTGCAGTAGCCTGTTGCATTCTTACAAGGTTACCTCCGTATCCATTAAGATGTTTAAAACTGTTAAATATGAATTTAAACATCATAATGACAATTCAATAAAACGAAAATATAATGAAAGAAACTAGCATATGGCAAGCTTACAGATATGTTTACTTACATGAGTCGAGCAGGTTTTTGATGAGGATGTTGGTAGTATTTTTACTTCGGACAGACCCGGCCTCCAATAGGGCGAAACCACCCTGCATCACTGAAACATTGGTCAAGGTAAGATTACTTTTAGAAATAGGAAAGTTTATTCCAGGAAAGGTCAAGGACAATGATTTACACACCCGACGTTAATTTCTATTTTTAGCTTGAGACTAGGTACAAAAACTTAAAGGTCATGGTTAAGTTCATAGCAGCTCAGGTCAACGACATACCAGCAAACCTTTAGGGACAAAGTTATGACGGTTTAGGGTAAGGTTCAACGTAATATCGGTCTGAACAGAGTCTAGCACCATGACAGCTTAAGGTCAAAGTATACGACTAAGGTCAACGTAATGGAATCCGCAAGTCATGATCAACATCATGAATCTTAAGCTCATGACCAAAACAAACGGTTAGGGTCACCGCAATGACAGAAACGGTCCAATGCCATGAAACCTTAAGTCTGGGTCAACACAAACACTCAATATCGACACCATGACAGTTAGCCTTTCGGGTGCCTGAAGAGTTCAAATCGAACACACCTTGTGTGGCCTCTCGTGACTGTACGGAACAAAATTGCTATTTTCATCAATCGGGAACAGTCGGCCCTTTCCGTAAACGAGGAAATATTTTCTTGTTTACGGAAAGTGCCGACGGTTCCCGATTGTGTTTGCATATTACGATGATTTGTGTTGGAGTTAACATCTTTTCGAGATTTTATCAGGTTTATCTATTAGAATAGTAAACCTATTGATAAATTCATCTCAGCGAAATTCGCTTTTGGTTATTTTTACCATCCATGTTCTGAACATGTGACACATTACTGACTTGTATCCTAAATCGTATACATCTTGAATATCCGTTTCTTTCAAAAACTGATTAAATCCTCAGAACTGACCATAATAACACAATGAATAACATACAAAGCCAGATATTAACATGTCCTTTGGTCGGATTAGACTAGGAAGTATTTTGTACATTGACTAGAATCGTGTACAGCATTACAGAATTATTTGTTGATTCCACCATTGTAGGAATAGTCATGATCGCAGTGATTTTTTATTGTGTTTTTAAGTATAACTTGCGGGACTTTTATGAAAATAGTTTATGAAATAAATAAAAAAAAATGTGATCAAAACCATATTCTGAGTGTAAAATATTCTACGGTGCCAGACCGAGATTCAAACCATGGACTTGAGATTCCTGAAATCACTAGCAAATGGATTTATTATAGATAACATAAATGAACAGAAAAGAAAAGAAATCGAATCAAGGATTGCAGAAATTGGCAGTGCCAATAAAGAGGTATTCGTCGAATTTAAGGGAAAAACAACGCAAGAAGGAATTTTATTTTTCACAGATATAATGACAATACTTCTATTCTCTGAATAGATTTATGGGACAAAGTGTAAAGTGTTAGTCTCTATCCTTGGTTAGTTTGCAATACAACGAGTCTTTTGTCGGGTTAATAAAACCGTGCAATAACCTGTCAAAGGTGGATCATTTCCTATCTTTTGTATGTTGAATTGTTTTTAATGGGAATACGCAATATGATAGGCATGTATAGATATAGACCGAACGCTGTTAGCTGACAAGTGTAACCTGATTAATGTATAGGTTATGACGTATACGAGTATAGCAAAAAAAATGAAGAACGCACTTGTGGGATTCATTCAAGGATGTCGATAGTTTAACGATCCTCGTACCACAACCAAAATCTGTAAATAAAAAATTAGATTTGTTTTCTGGCGTGACTATAGCTTTGATCAATTATCATTTCTTTCTGAAAAGAAAACACTCCCTGAATGAAAAATAATAAAGATGAAATGAATCAAATGTAATCATCAAAAGTTAACTAAATGTAAAAAAAAATCAGAGGGGGGTG